AACCCGTAACCCTAACCCCGTAAACCCTAACCCCTAAACCCCTAACCCTAACCCTAACCCCTAACCCTAACCCTAACCCTAACCCTAACCCTACCTAACCTACCTACCTACCTACCTACTACTCTCTCTCTCTCTCTCTCTCTCTCTCTCTCTCTCTCTCTCTCTCTCTCTCTCTCTCTCTCTCTCTCTCTCTCTCTCACTCTCACGCACACACTCTCACGCACACACACGCACCTTCCAACAGCTTGTCATGTCATACCGTTCCTTCACACCTGTACTTGTTCCTGGCTTGTCTCCTCTGTGTCCGGCATACTGTGTGCTGCTGATAGGATTGCATGCTTGCTGGGTTGCGACTGCTTTCTGTTCTTGTATGATAGTAGTAAACCATGCTTGTTATCAACAACTATCAGTCCACCAAGGATGGCATGAGGTGTGCGCAGTAACGCAGCAATGCCGCAGCGACGGGCGCGAACAGCAGCCGCTTATTGGTTCCATTTCATCAATGTTCACACGCACGCACCATCGAAACACCAGCACGACACGACTACGACGTTGCCACACAGCACGGAGCACCATCGTCTTCAGTTCACGGGGTGCAGGCGTCTACAGGTCAACGACGTTTGGATAGAGTGTGGCCCGCTGTTTCTCCAGCTCGTCATCAAGCAACGCCCGGATGCTCTCGCTCACCCCGAGATAGTGCACAACGTACACCTGTCATGCGCGCGTTCAATCAATGATGGACGGATCACGTGGAGACACAGTGGTGTGAGAAGCTCTTGCACAAACATGTTCAATTGAAGAGGGATGGAGGGAGTCGCTGCACACACATACACACACACACACACACACACACACACACACACACACACACACACACACACACACACACACACACCTCGATGTCAAAGTCCTGATGCAGAGCGATTGCGCGGGCGGCAGCGCGGACGATGCTGGCAGTGTCGTTGCCGTATGCACCGCCACCAATCAGCGTCAGAAACACCTGCAATTATGAAGGCGCTCTCGTGAGATTGACCACGTGGGTTGCGCTGCACCGTCACAGCACGTGCGCAAAGTAGTTCTGCCATGCACACACATACACACATATACACACACATTCACACCTACACACCTACACACCTACACACACATACACACACGTACACACGTACACACACATACTTGCGCACGCCGACAAGGGCATGAGATCACATCTCGCTCATTGTCACCTGCCGTCACTCACGCGTTTGGAGCCGTGCTCGTTGTTGTGTCGGGCGGCGTTGAGGATTCCAGCAAGGATGGTTGCCTCATACATCCCCTGCAGCACAATTGACTCAAAGGGCTCCCACGTCTCGTGCGATATCGCATAGTTGTACGCAATGCTGGATGGAGGGCGAGAGACGAGGGGACGTGTGGTGGTGGTGGTGGGTGAATGGTGACAGGGGAGGACAAGAACAAGGAGAAGTACAAGCAGAGGAAGGAGAAGGAAAGTGAGAGGATGCTCCTGCGACGCCCAACAGGCGGTGATCGCGTTGGATCGCACGTTCGCGAGCAACACAACAAGACGAATGCATGCACGCTCACACCCAGCTACCCATCCACCCAGCTACCCATCTATCCATATATCCATCCATCTCCCCGCTCAAAGCTGATTCGTCCTCCCACCTGAGGGCTGAACAGTATGCCTGGGTAACGGTGTGTGGCTCGTGCTCAACACGAAAGTTGCAGCTGTCACGCGCGGACAACAGAACCTGTTACAACGGCGATGATGATGAGTGTGATGATGGTGATGATGGTGATGATGATGATGATGATGATGATGATGATGATGATGATGATGATGATGATGATGATGATGATGATGATGATGATGATGATGATGATGATGATGATGATGATGATGATGATGATGATGATGATGATGATGATGATGATGATGAGT